CCACCACCACCAAAACCACGCACACACGCACGCACGCACGCACGCGCACCACCACCCACTACGCACGCGCGCGCGGAGCCACAGGTCCGCTACGACACGCGTCCGCGGATAGAGAAAATCAGCGCCTTGGTAAGGGATGGGAGGGAGGGGTAGGACGTCAGATATGACGCGAGCGCACATAGCTTGCCTCTCCGCCCCCCCCCCTTCCCCCTCTCCCCTCCTCCTCTCCCTCTCCCTCCTCCCTCTTACCTTTTTCTCCCTCCTCCCTCCTCGCTCCTCCCTCCTCCCTCCTCCTCCTCTCCTCCCTCCTCCCTCCTTCCCTCCTCCCCCCGCCCCCTCCCCCCCCTTTTCCCCTCCTCCCTCCTCCCTCTCACTCCCCCTACAGGCGGCCCTCCCTCTTCTCCCTCCTACTCTTCCTCCTCCTCCCCTCCTCCCTCCTACACTACTTTTCCCTCCTCCTCCTCGCTTCCTCCATTCCCTCCTTTTCCTAAAATCCCTCCTTCATACCTCTCCCTCCCATCCCTCCTCCCTCCTCCCTCCTACTCTCACCCTCCTCATACATCCTCCCTTACTCTCCGCCTCCTCCTTCCCTCCTCATCCTGCTGCTCCCTGCTCCTCTCCTCCTCCTCCTCCTCCTCCTCCTCCTCCTCCTCTTCTTCTTGATAATATGATTCGTATGTGTTATTAGTATTCGTGTTAGTATTATTGTCAGTAGTACCAGTATTTAAACGAGTAGTGGCATTAGTATTAGCATCCGTGTTAGTACTATTTGGATTCATGCGATTTACTATAGACAGTGTTAACACTACGACTGTTACTATAATGGTATTCCGAGCATTATCATTATGAATATGAGTGTTGTTAGTAGTGTTGTTAGTAGTAGTGTCATTAAGAGTACTCGTATTAATAGTGTCATCATACTATTCACAACACTCATATTATTATGATTAGTGATACTCCTCGTCGCATTCGACATATTACGTGTACTAATACCTTTATGGTATTAGTTCCCTCCATATTAATAGTCATCTTCGTATTATGATTCCTCTTCCTCCTTCTCCTCTTCCTCCTCCTTCTCCTTCTCCTCCTCACAGGGGGGAACATCGAGCTGGAATCCGCGATACATCCCCGATAGAGTGGCCAGAGGCCCCCGATGAGCGAGACAGCACGCTCCTGGGCGGGCTGGGCTATCGGGCCCCTCTCCTTAGTCAATGCGCCATTGGGGGTCGATGCATCCCCCCCGAGCCGATCCCCCAGTCGTTGCAGTTTTGGTTTTCGGCCCACAACTCGGGTCTCCGGCTGCCGTTCGGGACGATCCAGGCACCCCCGGCACGCTGTTGGCGAGGCGTAGCCGCTGGAGAGCATCCCGAGGCTACTCGGACCTCGAACCTCGAAAGCCTACAGCCGGACTTCACTGGACAGGACGCACGAGAGGACACAAGACCCTTCAAAGGGCCACATTGCCACAGGAGTGTAGGAGGCATGGGTCGCGAGACACAGGGCACAAGGGCACCCTTGATTTGCGAGGGTCGACCTACTGATCAGGGCCGACCGCACCCCCCTACATTAGGTCGGGCACGTCCTCATACAGGCGGATTTTGGAAGAAAAAAATCTTCTTCAAAATGACAACAAAAATGTTCACGACACTCCCAACAAAACATGAGATCGTCCCCTGACTATGTTTGCAGACTCCTCCTGTTGAGGGGCGTGCCCGACTCGACCCTGCCACTGTGTGCTGCCCCGGGGCGTCGCTGCGTCTCGCCGCCCCCGGCTCTCCACGGCGCAGGCCGCCCGGGCCGCGCGGGCGGCCGGCAGCTCGTCGAGCTGGCGGACGTCGCAGAGCTCCCAGGCCAGGGCGCCCTCGCCCGCGTGGGCCCGCCGCATGGCGGCCACGCAGCTGGGGCTGCCGTCCAGGCTGAGCACCTGGAGGACGACGACGACGACGACGACGACGACGACGACGACGACGACGACGGCGACGACGACGGCGACGACGAAGACGACGACGACGACGACGACGATGGCGACGACGACGACGACGACGACGACGACGACGACGGCGACAACGACGACGACGACGACGACGACGACGACGACGACGACGACGACGACGACTGCGACGAGGACGGCGACAACGACGACGACGACGACGACGACGGCGACGGCGACGACGACGAGGACGGCGACAACGACGACGACGACGACGACGACGACGACGACGACGACGACGACGACGACGACGACGACGACGACGGCGGCGACGACGACGACGACGACGACGACGACGACGACGACGACGACGACGACGACGGCGACGAGGACGACGACGACGACGACGGCGACGGCGTCGACGACGACGACGACGGCGACGGCGACGACGACGACGAGGACGGCGACAACGACGACGACGACGACGGCGACGGCGACGTGGCGACGATCAGAAGCGGGCCTCACGCAAGAGGGCACGGCGACCTGACGCGGTGGCTGACGCAGGCCGCGAGCACGGCACGCTCACCTGAAGCGATGACAGAAACGAGGAGGAGGAGGAGGAGGAGGAGGAGGAGGAGGAGGATAGAAACGAGAAGACCTCTTCCTCCTCCCGCCCGTCCCTCCCCACCCGTGCCCGGATTCGGGGCCCGAGCTTTGGCCACGCTCACAGGACAGACGTGGTGCACAGCTGGAGGCTTCGTCTTGGTGTCCGCTCCACTCTCCACCAGCCGCGCATGGCTCCGCGGTGCTCGTCCAAAAGACGATACAAAAAACAAGAAGACGTAGCGACCTTCCGCCGCCACGTACGCGGGCCGCCAGCGTGGCACGCTACATTGGAAACGAGGGCGCTGACGCGCAACCTGACGCGGGCAACTCACGCGCGAATGTCGGCGCACTCGACCCGTCCCTGGATCCCTCCCAGGGTCAAGCTGGCGTGGTTTGTCACCCCCCGGTTCCGTTTCTGACAGCCCAGGGTCCCGAAAACGGCCCTGGAGGCCGAAGAAGGTCCAAAAGCGGACCGACCCAGCACCTCGGACCTGCCCCTCCCCTTCCTGCTGGCCAGAGCCAGGGCTATGGCATCCCGTGCTTGCATGGAGGTAGGGAACTGGATTTGGGAAGTGGTTCCCCGAGGCATTCTCCTCGTACGTGGAGGAACTAGATCTGGGAATTGGTTCCCTGTAACTTCCCACCTCTGAAGGGGCCCTGGGACACACAAATTCGCCGGCCCAACGGGCCAGAGGCGTGCTAAGATCTCCGGTAACTGGTTAACAATTGTATTGTACTAGTTCGCGCGCGCGGGGCGGCCCCTGGGGGTCCCCCGGCGAAAAGTACCCCGCCCGCCGCCTGGGAAGGTCCCGCCCGGTTCAACTCAGAGATGGTTTTCCTTCTGGGTGCGGCCTCTCAGGCCGCCCTGAGCGCGCCAAGAGTGCCCCAAGAGGCCCCCAAGATTGCTCAAGAGGCCCCCGAGACGTTCAAAGAGCGCTCCAAGGCGCCGAAGATGACCCCAAGACGGCCCAAGAGACCCCCAAGACAGCCGAAGAGGCCTTCAAGACGCCCCAAGAGCCTTCCAAGAGGCCTCCGAAGAGAGCCCCAAGAGGCCAAAATCGTTGATTTTCATTGGTTTTTCGATGTTTTTTGCGTTCTGGCTTTTTCGGCTTCCGGACGCTCCAAGACGACCCAAGAGGCGCCCAAGATCGCTCCAAGACGGCCCACGAAGCTCCCAAGACGGCCCCGAAACGGCCCAAGAGGGCCCCCAAGACGGCCCAAGTGCCGCCCAAGACGGACCAAGAGGCCCCAAGACGGGCCCAAGAGGGGCTCAAGAGGGATACAGAGAACTGAAAAATCGAGCCCTCCGCCCCAGAAGGCGCCCAGGAGGCCCCAAAAAGGCCCCAAGAGGCCCCCAAGAGGCCCCCAAGACGCCCCAAGAGGCCCCAAGAGGCCCAAAAGAGGCCCCAAGAGGCCCCAAAAAGGCCCCCAAGAGGCCGCAAAACTCGGCTAGCCCGCAACGGTGCGACAATATGGGCCGGCGGAATGAGCGAAGCGATTAAATAAATACACACAAATAAAAAGATGTCCCATATTTCCCCATATTTTCTGTGTGTTTGTCTTCCCCCCACTTCCCATATTTTCCCATATTTTCTGGGGAGTCGACGATTAATCGTGTCTGTGTGTTTTTGTTCCCTTCCTGAACCTCAGACACTCAGCAGGCTCCAACCTTCAGGGGCGCCCAAGAGGGCTGCGTCCAAGAGGGGGACTCGCAAATCATGACCCGAGGCATGGGCGTGGCCGGGAGACGCATCGAAAGAAGAAGACGGGCCATACAATCTGGGGAGATATCATGGTCCCGTCGCCGTCGCCGCCGTCGCCGCCGCCGTCGTCGCACGGCGCCGTCGCCGTCGCCGGCGCCGTCGCCGCCGTCGCCGTCGTCGCACGGCGCCGGCGCCGGCGCCGGCGCGGTCGCCGTCGCCGTAGCCGTCGCCGCCGCCGGCGGCGGCGGCGGCCGGCGGCGGCGGCAGCGGCCGAGCACGTGGAGCCCCGTGCACGCCGCGAGGCGGGCGGGCAGCTGCGACATGCCGCAGCCGGGGTGCAGCACCGGGCCCGCGGCGGGCAGGCGCGGCCGCAGGAGGGCCACGAGGCGGTCGAGGTCCTGGCCGCCGAGGGGCCCTGGGCGGCCGGAGGTCGCCGGGCCGGAGGGCGACGGACGAGGAGGAGGGGCGGCGCGCACGAGGCGGTGCGCACGAGGGGGGAGGGCTGCTCAGGAGGAGGCTGCTCTCTCAAATTGGACGCCCGAAGTGGGTACGGAAAGAATGGGCACAAATGCCGAACAACAGATGCTGTCCCAAACCAACAGCGGCCGCTGTTGGGCAAGGGCGGCCTTCTGTCTCAGATGGACACAGGCCGCGGCGGCGCGGACAGCGAGCCCTGTTCAAAATAAACAAGAACTGCTGTTGGGCATCGTACCCATTGTTTCCGTGCCCGTCTCGTTCGTGCAGACTCAGGAGGCGCTGGC